TGTCTCATCACCTACAGACATGATCCACCACACTTCCTTTGGCAGTCTTAGTCTTCGGGACCACGAGCTGGCCAGAGCTTCCCTGTCTCATAGGTAGAACACTCTCCTAACTTCCTCTTTCCTGTTCTTACCCATTCTGGCAAAAAGGCTTCTCATTGACCAGTATTTTCCTTTTGTCATTTTACTCTTATCTTCAGGACAACTTTCTGGTTGCTTCTTATTGCCAATCAAATCCAAATTATGCTGGCAGCTTTCAAAAACTCTGCCTGACTAAGCCTGCTCTTCAGGTTATTTCCTGCCATGTTCTCACTCTTCTCTGAAAAAAACTGTATGTCTCCTGTTGTTCATTGTACACCTCTGCTTTTGCTTACTCTGTCTTGATACTTTAATGAGAGACTATTGTAGCATTGTACCATGCAAGGTCTAGGTTATTATAGTTTCACCCCTTAAAGTTTGTATGAGGTGGCATATATGACAGGGACAAATGTCTGTAACACTGCATGATAAATGCATACTTAGAATTACTAACAAGTTTTACAGTGGTAAAGAGAGGAATAAAGCATCATTTTGTTAACATAACAAGGACTATAATGGTCTCTAAGTTCCATGAAGACCTTTCGTCTTATTTCGTACATACTTAAAAGTGTAGATGGAGTAAATTCATACTGAACATGCCATCAGATTCTTCTGAAGTGTGGACTTATCCCTGAAATAATCATTCTACAGAAAGATTCCATTGTGGAAATAGACTTGTTCTTCTACATATAAAATTACCAGCATGTTGTTGTTGAAACTGCAATGAAGCAGGAGCAAGAAAAGCTAGTCCTGGATTGTCTCTAATAAGCCATTGACTTAGAACAGTGTATTCACCTCACCAGATGTCACCATTTCTTCTCTAAAATGAATAGATCAAGCTAAATGTCCCCAACTTCTGATACTCTTATAATCCGTAACTCTCTGTGTTGGCACTCATTCCCTGCTTCAACAGACACCTATTAATAGAACCTAGCGTGTACGCCACTAGATCTTACAATTTCTTTATGTCATAGACAATAAAATATCATTTCTAACAGGAGCTGAATCCTTTGCCAGCTAGAATCAATGAAAGTGCTAAGCACCTAAGGTTAGTGCATTGTGATTTACTTCCCCGCTTCTTTAAACCCCAGAGACACAGGTACCTAGAGCATGGGCAGTGAGGAAAGGCAGCTCTTTGAGCATTCTCCTGGCCACACAGGCATTCAGGAGTCCTCATCGTGCTTGGCGTGTTTGTTGATAGTGAGACTCTGGAATGGCTGAGTGAAGATTGAGACAGAGCTAACCTGACAGGCTGAGAGTTTAAAAGCATCGATTAGGGATTGTTTAACAATTTGACCTTCAAACTACCTTAATATTGTGGTTTTTGTTTCTTATAATGGTAGTTAAAAAAAAAAGAAACTATCCTTCCATGCTTTTTAGTGATTATTCTATTAAAGCAATAAAGGACATGAATTAATAAGTACCTATGAATATAATTTTAAGACTCTCAAGCTCAGGAATTGAAGTGATGTGGAGACAGTCTAGGGACTACATTCCATGAGTGTGCACAGCCCACACACCTCTGTACTAATCAACCTTAGAAGAACCAACTTCCCATCAGAGAGATGCACAATGCATTTTGTGCCTACTTATTAGACTACCTATTGGCAGATACTCATATTGCACTTCTTAATTAGGTGACAAAGCAGCCTCACTTATATGGTAGTTGGTGCTAATGAAAATTTACATAAGAAACCAAAGGGAATTAAATAGATGTGAAGATTACCATTTTGCACTTTATGTTTTTATTTGTGGTAATAAAAAGTGTGAATTGAAAAATCTAAAGAAAAGTAATGGGTGATTTATTTTTAAAATAAAATGCACTAAGCAAGAAGTCATGCTCATAAATACAAAAGTACCCTAGTGTTTCATTTTGACAATGCATAACAATGATAGTGACATAAAATTTGTTTTAACACTCTAGAGTCCTGATGAATAGGATGTAAATGGTTTACCATTAATGCTGGATTTTCTCACACGTCTTTAAAGAATTAAATTAATACTGTTTAAAATAAATAATGATAAATGCTAAAGCTTTTTGTTTTGTTTTTGTAGATACAAAAGTGAAAGAAGAGATAATCACCAGGGAAGAGAACTCCAAAAGTATTATGCAATTTACTGTTATTTACCACTTATAATTTTTTGGACATCATTTATAATTGACAAAGTTTTTCCAATTTGCTATCATAAATCAGCTGCTTTCAAAATCTCACATACCCTAATAATTCCCAGTTGAACTTAACTACTCTTCTGGCTTCTACTCATTGTTTTCCTTTTCGAATACACTTAAGAGTATGTGATACTGAGCCAGGGATTTAGTTCAGTGGTGCCACCGCCTGCTTTGCAAGGATAAAGGTCCCAAATTCGATCCCAAAACAAACACCCTGTCCCAAGAAAAAGAATACGTGATACTTTGTTTAGTGAAAAATATTTGTAACTTTGTTTAATCTTTTAGTAAAAAAATCTCCATATAAATAATAGAAATCGCGTGACAGTAAAAGGAATCATTCAGTTACATTTACTCAAGTATAATTTCAATAATTTAACAGTAGACTGTTTTATAATATATCTGAACATGTCCAGACTTATATAAACAATGTGAATAATGAAATTTTTGAATTCTGTGAATGTTTCTGATTATTTTTTAAATTTATTAATTCATTATTTAATTCTTAATTTACTATTTAAAAATTTTATTGAGAATTTAGTAGGAATTTTCCCTTATCTTGCTATTCAAAATTAAAAAAAATGACATAGTTCTCTAAAGAATAATCCCATTTTCCTTTTATTCTTCTTTTCAAAATAATCCCAATTTCTTTTTCCTTTTCTTTTCTTTTATTACTTATTTTCTGGGCTAGAAATTAGACCCAGGGCACCTAGGTAACTGCTATGACTTGAGCCACTTCCCCAGTCCCACCCATTTGTCTACTAATAATTTTTATGGATATCCCAAAACAATCAGTACAGAAACTTTTAATCAGTGCTTAGAATAATCGAGTTGACCAAATCATATTTGGATTGACATATCTTTGATATCTTTCTTTTAAAAAGTGTCTATGATATTAAAACAATACTAATACATAGAATTATTTATTTTAACAATGCAATAGTATCAAAAATACAATTCCTCATTTTAAAAACTTATTTTCTAAAGAAAAAGAAAGAATAGAGTGTGGTGTCACTGACTGACTTTTTATATGTCAGTACCCAATGTGAAGTTTTGAATTTGGCTACATTTTATTATTACTGCGCCATAAATGCTAGATGTCTTATATGGTTATAAACATATGAGAAAAGAATTGGTTTACTGTGAATGGTTCATCAGTTTTATGAAGACATGTATGTTACCATTTAACCATCATTTATTTATAGGATATGATGTTTTGCCTTTAGAAATTTCAACATCTGTTTAATATAACTGTATTCTCATAATATTCATATTTCTACCTATTTGCCTAACTTGTACACCAAACATTATGACCACCAAGCAACTACTGGAAGGTAAAAGAATCAGAATGTGAGCTAACTTTGGACAGGCAAAAAAGGTGCTGAGCCAGACATCAGAGTAAAGCCTGATTCACCATAGCAACCAAGTTTAAATCACGTGATTGTGAAAAAGAACAAGGAGCAATTCCTCCATTGGTTTTGAGAGAAAAATATACTATTTTATTCTTCTTTGTATGCCCTAGAACAACTAGCCTTGCCTCATACATAGCAGTTTCTAAAACATATGTGTATATATATATATATATATATATATTTTATTATACACACACACATATATATGTATATATATATGATAATTTTGATAATATATATAATAATTTTCTGACCATGAAAGAGTGACACGTAATGTGACTTATGGAATAAAGAGAAACAAATGGATTGAAGAGAGGGACAGAATGTAGATAGTAAAAAACTGTTCCACTGTAATTTCTCATTAATGATGATGCTACTTCTCTACCACCTGCTTAAGCAGGGGCACATCTGATCTGCTTTCTGCGGCCGACTTATTGATTGTGCGGGTCGATGTAAGCTGATGCATAAAGAACCAAGAAAGTGGGCAGCAGCGTTTTGCTAGATAACTGCTAAGAAGTAGACAGTTTACGCTGGATGCATCCAAGCTGAGTGGCCCCATGTGAAGTTGAATGATTAGCAAAACCAATCCTAAAGCTAACAATCCTGTCACTGCTCAGTAGGTCTATTGTTAGTGGAACATTAGTTATATTTAAAGAAAAGTGATGACATTTGAAGATTGAATGAATCTGTTTTGGCACAAGAAAGATCTTCCTTTCCTTTTCTGTATATGTCATATTGCACTCATGCATATGAGCATCTAGTTGTGAGGTCTCAGATAACAATGGCTTTTGCTTTCACTCTCCCTAGATAATCAAACTATTGTATTGATGGTTACTGCTCATGTTGCAAGCAAGTCAAAGTTATTAGCTTGGAGAGAACACTAGCAATAAAATCACACCCTTAATGCAAAATTCCCAAACTGAGCAAACGAACAAAAATCCAGGAAAATAAACAGAATTTGCTGATGTTTAATCCATAAAACAAAAATAGTGTTTAAGAAAGAAGGGAAAGAAAAAAATAAGAGAAAGGAAATAAAATGGAAACACAGTCTTTAAATGAGGAGGGGAGGAGGGATTGGAGAGAGGGAAGGGGAGTGGGGGAAAAATAAGAACCAAGAGATATCATGAACAGGTACAAATTCCCAACGATGAATGTCGTCATACTGCATGCCTAAAATGTGCCAATAAAATTAATGAATAATAAAAAAGAGAAAAGAATGAGACTATTGAGTAAAGAGCTATTTGGTTAAACGTCAGTTTTAATATATCTAACCGTGCTGCTAACAAAAATTAGACACTCACAAATGTCCTATTTCCTTCTCTCGAGGAGAGGATGTGGAACGTTACCTGCCAGAGTGGGTCTCTCTGCTCAGGAAAGAGCTCAAAGTACTTGTGGGCCAGTTGCACTGGTGGCAGAGTCTGAAGACGCAGGTTGGTCCAGCTGTGCACAAAGTTGGCCAGGTTCACAAAGGTGTATAACCCTAGGCGGTCATTCCCATAGTTAGATAAATGAGTCATGAAGATGCTGATCTGAAAGACAGGTAAAAATGACCACACAACAGCATATGCTTAAACTCACACGTGGCAGTGTAAGTTCCAGGGAGCACTTTGCCTAATTTGGGAATTGTATGATTCAATTTTTTTTTTTTTTTTAGGTAGAAAGCCACACATCTAACTTTGAAATGAAAATAACATGTACATCCACTCTTTAAATTGACATTGACATTAGATTAGCAAAGAGCCTGAATTAAATAAGTTCTGATATTAAGCACTTATTCCTGCCATTTTCTGATGTAGATGTACGTACAAATTGAAATGGAATCAAACTTGAGAAAACTTCTTTCTTTGTGGTCTCATAAAGTTCTTTTCACTTCAATTTTGAATACTATCACTATGAAGAAATTATAAATCTTGGAGGATATAGGTTTAAAATGCTTAGATATGTTTTAAATGCAGATTTAAACGTTATTCAATTTATCAAAGCATCATGTGGGTCCCTATTAATATGTATATGTTTTGTTTTGATGTATCAATTAAAAAATAAACATACTTTAAAAAGCCATCAGCATTTTTACAGAAACTGATTTCCTTTGGCCCTCCATTTTTCCATGATCATTAATCCTTTTACAACTTTTAATATCTTAATATTAACTCTAAAATTAGAGAATTTCCATGTCGCTCTTTCAGTATCAGAGACTACAGAAAAGTGAAATCTAGATTGCTCTGAAAAGATCAACTGAAAATTTGAAAATGATTCAAAAAATTTGAGTACCTTGGTGCTTCAACAGGAATTAAAAAATAATAAAGAAAAAATTGTAACATCTTTGACCACATTGCAGAGGTTACTGCATACCACCCAGAAAGGAGAAATTCATTGTCAACAATAATAATTGTTATAATAAAATACAATTTCAGTGTTATTAATAATATCTTGCATTTGATTTTAAATCTCATTTTCAAACATAAGCATTTTAAACTAATTTTTCTACTTATACAAATCTACAAATATTTCAGAGCAACTCAAGTATTACAATAGAGTACTTTATTAACTTCATTATTATTAAAGTAAGAGTAATTTAGCATTATAAAATAGTATTAGCATAAATATAGGACCTGAAACTGAAGAGTAAAGTAACATCAAAGTAAAGTCAAGCGTCTCATGGCTATTGTTTTATGTGGATGCTTACTCTCTTTTTTTAAGTGATTATGTTGCTTGATGCCGTAATTTGGATTATTTAGAAATAAGCAAGGGTGTGCAGCAACCATTTAATATCATTTTCATCACAACCTGGTTAGAATAGTAGTCATGCAGGAAAGGTTACACTCCAAACCTTTTGTCCCAAGCTTGTCATTGGATAACTGGAAATGCCCACGGAAGAGCCCTTTATGTGAAAAACAGTAAAAGCATTACCCTCTACCACAATTTAATAAACAGTACTCTGGCAGGAAATTAGAAGTTAAAGACACCAGGTTCATTGTTAGAATGCCCTTTTTATTTTGGAAAAGACATTGTCTCTTTGTGTGTCATGCAACAATACTGAAAAGGATTCTCAGAGGAAAAATTAAATTATCTGTCAGCCCTCACTAGTGTTGAAAGTAGAGAGCAGACAGTCTTGGACCATTACCCTCAATATTTCTAAATTACAATAATACCTAAAAGGTGTACAGCACTTACTATGTGCTAGGAATCATTCTAAGCCCTTTACATATAAAGATAATTAAATGTTCATGATGCTCTTACAAGGTAGATATTGTTATTGCTCTCTTTGAAGAAGCAAACACGGTGTAACAAAGCATTAAGTAACTTCCTGAGCTCATATCTGGTAGGTTACACACAAGAGTTCAAATGTAAGAAGTCAAATTTCCTAATCCAATACATACTATGTCTTGCCCCAAATATTTTTATACATAGAATTTTACATTTATTTTTTTCCTTAAAAAGATGAACATAATTCTATAGAGGACAGTAAAAAAACTATGGGCTCATTACATTGGCAATTTATAGTTTTGAAATAAATTTAAAATAGAATGAAAAATAAATTAATTTTGGAGTTTTAAATGAAAATACTTTAAGACGATAATAGTGCTTGAAAAAACACTACTGATAGACTGAAAGTTTATCATTAAAAGAGCTTAGGAAATGAGGGAAGAGAAACATGAAAAAATGAAAAAATGGAAATAAAGTATTTTAAACAGGGAAGGGAGAGGGAGTGAAAGGAGAGCAGGGACAAGGGAAAAAAATGAGAACCAAGCCCTGTCATGTAAAGGTACAAGGTCCCAATGATGAATGTAACTGTACTGTATACCTAAAATGTACCAATAAACTCAATGAGGTAAAAAAAAGACCTTACATTTGTTACATTTGTTGCCTGTTTTTTTATGGGATATATTTAAAGCTTTATAATTGAAGAATAAAAAAAGAGAAGACTATTTAAATAGTATTCTTTTCTTTGTTTTGTTTTGTTTGTACTGGGGATAGAACTCAGGACCTTGAGCTCACGAAGCAGGTGGCAGAACCACTGAGCTAAATCCCTGGCCCTAAATATATTCTTTACGTCGCTTATTTAGGCAGAAATTGAAATTAAAATCTCTCAAATATTGGCATAATGATCTCTCTTGAGATTCATATGATCATTCATAAAAGCTCAGGGAATCTATGCCACTCATTTTCTTCCTTGGCCAATGTCTCACTCTCATACTCTTTTATCTTAAATAAGAGCTGTGCTCTTGGCCTGACTTAATTACAGGGTTTCTAGGACATAACTTGATATCAATAGTTGATGACCATAATTGCAATTGTGGTCACGAGACCTTCTTTATAATCACTACAAAATAATATGCATTTGATCCTAATAAGTGTGTATTTATCTCATGTCACTACTATAATTAAGAAATAAAACAGTATAAGTAGTGTGCTTCAAGATAATTATGGTTTTCTAGGATTGAAATTATTATGAAAAAGAGAGGCAGCAGCCTGAGTGCCTGAATAATTATAATAACATCTAGAAATCTACCACCTGCCCTTTAGTATTGTTATTTTAAGATAGAATTTTGGGCATCTCTGGTGCTTAAACTCTGACAAATTATAGATAAAAATCTGCTCTGAGGGAGGAAAGATTATTTGAACATAACAGGTATGATATGATTTAATTAAGGTATTAATATAATGATAGTAATAGATTTTTGCAGCAGATTAGTTTTAAGTAATTTTTCAAGATTTCTCCTAGGAGAATAAGCCTCACTTTATAAAGGAAGCATAAAACTTTATGCAGGGCAAATGGTAGCATCTGCCTTTGGAATACAGCAGCGTCTGGAGGTGCTGTGCGGGTCCTTGCTGACCCATGTGCTGCATTTAAATTTTCCATTGCTGAGAACAAACACAAGCGCCCTGGCCAGGACAGTTGTGATCACTGCTGTATGGGAAGCATGTGCACATGCCTTACTGGTTAGAACAAATTAGTGCTGCTGTATGGTCAATTGACTGCACTTTAACAAAAACAATTCTGCAAGCACAGCTTAACTGTGCATATCTGGCTTGCTAAAAGCACCTATTGTGCAGACAGAGCATTTTACTTTTAGTATTCTAGGCAAATGGCTTGTTTAAAATAAAAACCTATTTCAGAGAGTGTAAGGACACAAATTAAGAATAGATGTGGTTTGAGGCCTAGATAAGGGAAGTCACAGGATATGCAGCATAAAATAATAGCAAATAGTTATTTTGTCACCAACTACAATATAGAGCTACTTATTTATTTACTTTTTAGTGCATGCTTTTTTGCTCATCCTGTCCTTTGGCTTACTTATTCTAATTGTTCTTTTCTTATTATATACTTTTCCTCAGTTTTCTCCAAAGCATCACTTGAACAAAATATGATTGTGTAGAATGAGTATAATTTGTTTATATGTGCAGCTCAGTGGACCTTGAAATAGTACAGTTCAGAAGTATGCAATGGTTCAGATCAGCAGAGACATCTTGCTCGACAGATTGCATTCAGAAGGAGATGCCAGTAGCTAACCTCGTCAGACCAACTGCAGTGGCCTTCGAGGGTCGAGGTGGCCTTCCTTCCACCAACAACCACTCCTCCGGGCTGCCTTCATCTGGTCCTTGGCACTTCCACACTTGACGTTCCTCCTTCAGCTCTAAGGCTCTCAGTTGTGTCTTAACCAAATGTAAAATCTTTAAATTCTTTCTTTTATCTCTTATAATGATGTATAAGCAAGCTTACAAGTACTTGCATACGATAGTAATTCATTAGAAACACAAAGTTTTTCATTAACCTTAATGCCAGACATAATATACATAACACCAAATTTGGAAAGATAAAACCTGCGGAAGAGATCCACTTAATGATATTTCTATAGCCCAAGGAAAAGAGGTCTTAGAGAGGTAATGTCTAAATCTTGATAAGAGGGAATTAGGTAAATATAAGTCAACTTTATGGACAATTCTTGACTAAGGGTAAAAGCACGGCCGTTACAACAGACAGGATGAACATACGTGAACGTCGACAAGTGGCCCTCCTTCGGGCTTTTACTGAAATTAACACAGTTGCTGTTGATAACATTTTATAAAATAACATTTTATTTTTGCCCTTCAGGCCCCAGGTGAAGTTGCTAATGAAGAAAATACAAGAAGAAGGGAAAGAAAAATGAAACGAAAACCAAAAGTTTCATTTTCTCTATAAAATAAAGCACCAAAATTCTTTACCGTGAGTTCAAATACTTTTATTACCAATACCAGAATAGTTTTCTTGCTGTTCCTATTTTTTTTTCTTTTTTTTGTTTTTTGAGACAGGGTCTCACTAGGTACTTGAGATTGCCCTGGAACTCACTATGTAGTCCAGGCTGGTCTCAAACTCACAGCAATCCTTCTGCCTCAGCCTCCAGAGTGCTGGGATTACAGGAGTGTGCACCATGCCCGGCTGCTGTTCCTATTTTCATGATGAAAATCTTCAATGTGACTGAAGATTGTACAATATATTAAATAAATATATTTAACAGTATTTAGATTATAATTTAAAATTGCTTTT